ATCGACCGGTTCACGTGAATATCTTCATGGAAAACGATTACAAGAATCGTCGTAGATTTAAACGCCATTCCACGAACATCTTATCGTATGATATTCTAATCTGTTCACAAGTGTGGGCATCGGTAGAATTCAAATTAAAAAATGGCGGTGGTTTAATAATACTTAATAACACAAATTGGAATGAAGAAAATTTTACAATTCTTTTCAACAGTATTGGTGTCATTTCTTGCGTTAATCCCTATTGGTGTTTCCTTGATCGAAATATAATTTCAAAAAGCGCGGGAAGTTTAAAAATTTTATCGATATTTTCGTTTCTTGAATAATTCTCTAAATTTTTATTGATAATTCTGCCGAATAATTAATTCTTGAACAAATATAAAATATTATGGAGAATTTTAACGATCAATTATAATTTCTAAGCAGAAATTTCTGCAGTCGGAGTAAAAGTGCACAGTGTAAGCTGCATATGGGATGCAACGTGTGATCGTACAGGAAACATTTCGCGGGATAATGCGTTTATATATATTGCAGGTCGAAGAGTGACAGCATAAAGAGCGGAAGCTTGTCGACGTATTGGCTGTCGTGTACTTATTACAAGGTACGCTTCCGGTCTGGCTGTAACCATGCGCTATCCACTGATGCTGCAAGCGTTCATCGTTGTTGTGCATATCGTGCCCGAGGCTCGTCTCCATCGACCGAATATCAGGGGTAAGTTTGGAATTCATGCTATAGTCAATACACCACAGTGATATAATGGGAATTACGAGTGAATTAACCCTATTATTATTCACTTTATTCACCATCTAGTCATTTTCACCTATATTTTTTCGTATCATTTTACATATTACACGAATTTTGAAAATCTGCCAAACGATATCGAGCGATATAATTTTCCTTCGTCGCGAATGATTAGGGAAAATTAATTATTTTTTTCTTTATCGATTAATTTGATAATAATTATGCCTGTGTATAGGAATTTTGAAGATGTGTTAGATACATGTTTGTCTTAGCATATTTATCCTACTATCGATTCGATCACTGAACAATACACTAGTGCAGTATTCTACCTTCTCATAACCTAACTACGAGCCAGTATCCTGAATATTTTTACCCCTTATGTGCTATGATTTCGTGAATCTACCACAAATTTGGTGAATTAAGAATTTAGATTTAATTAAACTTCGGCAAACAATTTAACATGGCGTCAGTGATGACTATTGCGCCATCTGTTTGGTCACACTAAAACTACCACGACTCGAAAGACCGCTTTCTAACTTTTAATTAAAAATTCTACCTTCAGAGTTATCACTTTAGTCACGTGACTTCAGGACTTTTCTTTTTCCTTTTCTTCAATATACTTACATATAATCAACTTTTCAATATCTACACGTATTTCAATTTTTGGAAAGTTCTTTCATTTATTCATCCACCGATCATCAAATATTAAATTCTAATAAATTCCCAGAATACTACGTTTAGTATATCTTTTTCAAAATATAACGCGTCTCAATGACCGTATTAAATCGATAATCGAAGACTCGTCAAGTATGCGAAATGTTTATCGGTGTAATTTTAGAAAAAAAAAAACAAGCCTGTAAAAGCGTTTAAGATATTTCACGGGGCATCAATATGACGGTGATTAGCATTTCACGAGACTCGTGACTGCAGTCGCCCCGACGTCGCGCGCCATCTGCACAATCCCGGAGTAAACCGTGCGGTCCGCTTAATCTCTTTCCGTTTTCATCGGAAGATCGTAACTCGACACTATTTGTGCACTTAACAGAACCGCCTCCGGCGAAGGCGAGGCTTCTGCCCATCGACGACTGGGCGTGACAAGTCCTCGAACAAAAGTAACTCGAGAAAGCGGACGGGAAGCTATCGAATCGGTCGCGGTACCCCCACCACCGCATCTCCCGCCTGGCCCTATGCCTTTGTCATTTTTCACCTGCTCCCGACGCGACGCTGGACATCATTTTTATCGGCCGAGTTACAGTTCCGGGGAGGTAGATAGTCGATTCTTCCGGAGAAAATTGTGTCCCCGTGAGACTCGAGGGATCGAAAGGATCTGAAGGATCCTCTAGAGGTTCATTTTTTTCTTTCTTCTTATCAATTACGAAGAACTGCCAAGATGGTGGTTGACTCGAAAGTCTCTCGAATTTAGGAGTTTGATCGAGTTTTACGCGATTTTTAGTTTCCAGATTTTATTTAAAAGCTTCTCATACTATGTTGCGGTCGTATTTATATTTGCGACGATTTTTTTCAGAAAGTGCAGAAATTGAAAGGTTTGGTGCCATAAAGCTAACGATATCTCTCAAAACACTAAGTAAAAAATCGTGTAATAATTAACACCTAGTATTATTTAATTTCAACACCTCGCACACTATTAGGGCCTAGTAATTAAGGGCCTAATCCATGCTAAATCGTTATAATAAATCCTATTATACCGAATCATATAATTCGACCACGCACCCAGCCCCTAATTTTGTTAAACAGCGGAAGGATTATTGCATAAATATTCCCAACGAATATAATCTATAACAAGATTTCTTTTTAATTTTAACGCAGCGTCAATTTCGATTTTTAGAATTAAGGTTAGCCCCGTTTTCAAAATATCCTGGGTATGTCTGAAACGAGAACACGCATCCCAAAGCAATCGTACGTATACCATGCCAGGCATTCTATTCAAATCCAGGACTATCTACCGATCCTGAAAGCCCATAAATCAGTCACGTGACTAGACTGTCAAAAAATGGAAAACGCGAAACCGAGGTTAATCCGATCCATCACGCCTCGAGTTCCACCTCGGGCAAATTAACTTCCCATAAAATGGCGAAAAAACGTTAACGCCCCGTGCACCGTGTGATCATGGGTACCCGATTGTCATGCCGCCTGGGTAATAAGTTCGTCCACGCAATCACGCGGTTGTCTCCGAGCGAAGCGGCCGCCGAACCCCGGAACGAATCCATTGGCGGTGAGGGCGCCCTCGCGCGGCCGCCATTTTTCCTGCGCGGCGAGGCTGCGCGCGCCTTTTCAATGTAGATGACTCGGGGCCGCGCTTGTAAATATTTATTCGTTTCGGTGGGCGACGGATACAATGCGAGGTGGAGAATTAACGGCGCAGGACCGCGTGTCGAAATTGGCCTGTCATTAGGAAGCAATTATCCCGATCGAAGAAAATTACAGCGAACGTAACGCGTTTACGCGACGCGTCGAGCAACGCGGGGAATCCCGGTTAGCTGACACGCATAATCTGTCCACTCCTGATCGCCCCTTCAGTTATTACGGAATTATTAACCCTCCTGGCTCCTCTCTGCCTCTTCTCTGGGGATATCGTAATGACGAGGCATTAGTAGAGGTTTGCACCACGGTGCTTCGCCCTAATTTGAAACTTAACGCCGGGAATTCGAACTACGGCTTGGGAAACTTCGAATTGTTCCTGCAAGTTAGGCTCCGGTTTAAAATGGTGGGGGGTAACTTCATGGGTAATTACTCGCCTCTGTCGCGTGGAATTTTTTGTTGGTTATGGTCGCTATTAAAAGTGTTCGATACTTCTTCAGTGGCGCAGGATGGAGGTTATATTTCAACGATCTTGTCCGGAACGTAAGTAGAAGTAGTTCAACTCGAGCAGTTGGTTTATAGTCTTTCGGATCATCTTATTGCCCGACATGTGGTGTTAGTAAGGAAGTACTTTAGTCGTGGTGGCCTCTGTGCCGGTCGTCTGTGAACAGTTAATTCTTTGAGACGCGGGATTTTAGAGCAAAAAGGGGAGTCTAGCTGCTTGGAAAATTTAATTAAAATAAACGAGCACTTCGGTCGAGTTACTGAACGTGTTAATGGAGCTTTTTCCTCTGCGATTATTAATGCTAAAATCTATCAAATTAGTCGGGTTAATTAATCTTGAATTGTTTATTTTTGCTACTACCGACAAGATGCAACGATTTTTGCAGAATTTATACGGACGTTGATTTAAGTAGCAATATGCGTATTATATACAGGGTGTCTAGAAAGTATAGATAGATCTTACTAAATGTTACAAATCTTACTAAACATGTTTACACATCTACTTATTTTTGTTATTTTAGTTTAATTATTGTCGTCTGTTTATATTACATATATGTCAAAATTTGATATTTCTAGTATTAATCTTAGAATGACACTGCATCTTTGGACTCTCACACAGCACTCTAACTGATTTTCAATATGCTGAAAAATCTATAAAAATTCATTGAAATACTTTCAAGTATGTATTTTATTTATAAAATTTAAATTATCAAAGAATTTAACGACAACTTTTATTTCTTCTTATTTAGAGTGATTCTACGTGAAAAAACAAATTGAAAATAAAGAATAAAATTTTTTCATTTGAAACTTCCTTGTCGAGAAAACTGACTTTGAATGTCCACCGAGTACACTGGTATACTGATGGTGCATTCGCTTTAGCCAAAGTTAAGTGCACGCGCACTCTATGAATATTCAAAGTTGATTTTCTCGACAACAAAGCTTCGAATCAAAAAATTTTATTCTTCATTTTCGATTTGCTTTTTCACGTAGAATCAACCCTTTCCGGTTGTATCATCGTTGCTGGGATAATCCCCGCGTTATTATTACATTCGCGTTAGTTCGTTAATTAAGAAGTTACGTTGATACGGTTTAAATATTTTCCACTTCCACGAGAAACCGCGAAGAAAAAGTAGAACTAAATGGAGTTGCTGATCTTCCGGTCTGAAATAGTCGTCTCTCGATATTTTTTCCACACACCCAAGAAGAAAACTAATGTCCCTGGGATGGCGCCAAACGTCTACAAAGGCGACGAAAAAAGGAATGCCCGTGGCCGATTCGTAAGAGTAACAAGACCGACCGTCCATTCATGGTTCGAACCCGTTGAAAAATCGCTCGTTCGCTGAATATGCGCTGGAACACTGGCGTGGGTGCGCGCGCGTGTTTTTCATGTGTACGCACACGCGTAGCGATGGGATCGACGTAGCTCGAAACGAGACCAAAATGGTCACCTCATGGATCGAAAATTTCGCGACGAAATTCAACGATGGACGATTATTTTCTCACTTCATATTTTTTACGAATTTTCCAGAGTTTGAAACGCTTGACCAAAATTGTTAGAAATGTCCAAAATTGATAGAGAAATTCTAGGATTCAATGAAACATCCAAAACTGAAGAATAGATTATCAAAATTTAAAAAATACCCAAGATTCTTCAAATATATGAAATTGCAAGAAAAAGGTGTCCAAAATTAAATAAAGAAACGTTTAAAATTAAAAAATATTTAAAATTGGGAAAAAGGTGGTTGATATCAAAATGTAAAAAATATTCAAAACCAAAAAAGTCTAAAATTGTAAAAAATGCTTCGAGTTCTCAAAAGAAAAATGTTCCAAGCTAAAGAAGATGTTGAAAATTTCTAAAATATCCAAAATTTTAAAAATGCCAAAATTTGTTTATATATTTAGTGTTTATTTTAAACCGTAAGGGATCATCCCCACGATTGGTGGTTTGATTCCTGGTTACTGGGAGATTATCAGACTGTCACCACCCACTTGGAGACAAACGAACCGTTGGAAGTTTCAAACGTGTCCCTCAGATGGCGAATCTTCAATTTCCAAACTTCCTCGAGGTTCTTTCTCGGAAATAGGAAGATTTCAAGATTCGCTAGGACCCGAAACTTCTTAAGCCGATATAAAATCTTAAGTCCATG